TTCTTCAATCTTTGAATGTTTGTGCCAAAAGGTACTATATCCATGTGTCTGATTGTTGGATTTCTTTTTAGAAATCAAGAAAAAAGAAAGTTTCAGGCAGACCACCTCCTTCTCCTAGTAAGTTTAAGATTTAGAAATAAGTTTAAGATCTATTGCATTTCCATGCCTGCCACACAAATGCTACCATCTGTGTATTACTGTATCCAGTGTTGGGGAAAGTTACTTTTAAAAGTAATGCATTACAATGTTGCGTTACTCCCTAAAAAGTAACTAATTGCATTACCTTAGTCACTTTTTATGGAAAGTAATGTATTACTTTACTTTTGCGTTACTTTTTATCATCTGGGCTGGGCTCATTTTTCTTTCTTCAGCAATACAAAATTGAATCACAAATGTTATGTTTATCTAAAGTCATTTTTGCTTATTAGTATGGTTGAATTGGATTATCGAATGTTAGCGATTAATAAAATGGGATATTTATGTTTTTTTTAACGTATTTATTTATTGCAGTTTTGCATTTCACTGTTTTTGTTCATTTTGAGAAATAATGAATCTGTTTTTGTGCAGGTGAGATAAGTAAATGCATGTTCACATTTATTCTAGAACTACAGTAACCATCATGTTTGCACAGTACACACAATGCATCTGCGCTTGTTCCCGATTTCTCTTCGGGGATGGGGACAGAAGAGCTGTCAGTCAATAAATGGAAAAAACACTAAGTAACTGGCATTACCTATTAGAAAAAGTAACTCAGATATTTTCTAAAGTAATGTGTTACTTTACTAGTTACTTAAAAAAGTAATCTGATTACGTAACTTGTGTTATTTTTAATGCATTACCCCCAAAACTGACTGTATCAACACAGCATAAAAATTGTGAAAATTTCTGTATTTGCTAATTTAATTATGGAGTACTAATGCAACTATATACACTACAAAATGCTTTTTAAATAATAGATAATTTTCTTTAAATAAAGGGTCACCATACCTGAATAGTGCAAACTTGCATCTGAAGAGAACTCCAGTAGCATCGTGGAGGACAGTGAAAGGGACAC